GTGTTTATATTTAACCTCAGAGCAATAATTAATTAAAATTACCAACAGGGACTTGCAGCCAGAGATTGGGCTGGATTATTTTGAATCAACATGTGCAACTGATTCTCCACCGTGCTCCCTTGCACCCCAATGTGCACAAAGAGTGCCTTGGCCTCTTTTCTGACCTTATCCCTCTGTCATCTTCTTTTCTATCCAAAATGCACAATCCCTCTTGACCTTAGGCCTCATGCATACACAAACATACACGGAGCCAACGTCAATCTTCCATTTCTTTCTTCGGCTACATTCACACCATACATGTAAAGCGCTGTGATACGACTTTAAACAGTTATAAAGGTAAAGGTAAAGGTACCCCTGCCCGTACGGGCCAGTCTTGACAGACTCTAGGGTTGTGCGCTCATCTCACTCTAGAGGCCGGGAGCCAGCGCTGTCTGCAGACACTTCCGGGTCACGTGGCCAGCGTGACGAAGCTGCATCTGGCGAGCCAGCGCAGCACACGGAACGCCGTTAACCTTCCCACTAGTAAGCGGTCCCTATTTATCTACTTGCACCTGGGGGTGCTTTCGAACTGCTAGGTTGGCAGGCGCTGGGACCGAGCGACGGGAGCGCACCCCGCCGCGGGGATTCGAACCGCCGACCTTTCGATCGGCAAGTCCTAGGCGCTGAGGCTTTTACCCACAGCTTCCCCCAAAGAATTCTGGGAGCTGTAGTTTGTTGAGGATTGTGAGGAGGCCCCCATTCCCCACACAGAGCTTCCATTCTCAGGGTAGTTTAACCATCAATCCCTCTTCACTGGGAAATCTGGGAATCGTAGATCTCTGAGCCCCCCAGAGCTGATAGCCTAAATTTGCATCTATTCATATACATCAGGATACATATATTTTATGCAAATTTGTGTCATGGGCCTGTGCCACAGAGATTTAAAAATACTCCTGGAGTGAATGTATTTGCATATTCATTTTACCAGCCCTCAATTGCTTTGTTTTTGTTTTTATTTTTAATATGTGTATTGTGTCTTTACATTGTGATTTTAGGTTGTGAGCTGCCCTGAGACCTCTGGGTATAGGACGATATACTACTACTACTAATAATAATAACAATTTGTTCCCAGTGACATTGTCAAACCCAATTGGTTGTTATTTTATTTACTGATGTCCAGTAAACACAACACGTAAACCCCAGCATTGTGATGTCATCCTGTTCACTTTGTGAATCCTGACTGGGAATGTGAAATTATTCCGAAAGAAGGAAGAAAAATCAGCCAGCTTTTGGGTGTTTGTGGGCATATGTACATATGTTTGTGTGTGTTGGGAATTATGGTAAGAAGCAGCAGCTAGTTAACAGCAGCATCAAACAAGATGGGGACAAGGTGAGCATCTTCGCAATCTAAAAGTCTCTAGTTACAGAAAAATGTTCCATCCCATAGAAATTGTTAGCTTGACCCCCAAAAATAGAAACTGGTGAAGATTTGGTACAGAGTATATTGAAGAACTTGCAGGAGACACATTTTAAAATGTTATAGGGAAACTGGCCCATGTCAATCCTGAACAAGCAATACATAGCATTTTAGGAATTCTCATTTTGCTCCAGTCTTAGTCAAATGCTTTTCAGGAAACATAATAATCTGTTTAAATATTGCAGACGGATGGATTCACCTCCCCTAGTTCTGCCCTAAGGCTAATTATCTGGCATGAACTCCTCTCTAATTTTTCTGACACGATTGTCACACCTCATTCTGACTGATGTGGACACCTTGCATTATGAAAGAATAATGCTTATAGCTGGAGATAGCGAAATGCTATGGTATGGAAGTCCCGTGTTAACGTAATGAGAAAGATCAAGAGCTTAGCAGCATATCCAAATCTATTTCATTCTCTCCAACCTGTACAGTTCGAAAGCAGCTTGGTGGTTAGTGTAAGTGACTAGAGAACTTGTCCAGCTGTCTACAAAAGCCAGCTTTGATCTCACCTTCCAAATGACTTTGCATGGTTCTAACTCCTGACCCAGCTATTTTGTGCTTTGTTTGGAATGACAATATGCCCCAGAACCATTCCTAATGGAGAATTCTCAACATGTACAACACCCTCAAGTACGTGTCATGAATGTTCACGTGTCTCTTTCATTGTGCAAACATAGCAGGAATCCACTGTTCTTCAGGAAGGCTTTTTTGCTACTGTGAAAAAGACACGTGAGATCCTTATTTATTTCTTTTTAAAAAATTTTAAACACATATTCCCCACTTCCTCCCCCAACCCCCGCCCCAAGCCAGGTTAGTATATCCATGTCAAACAGCTCTTACTATCAGAAAATTATTCCTGATGTTTAGTCGGAATCTCCTTTATTGTAACTTGAAGCCATTGGTTCGAGTCCTCACCTTGTAGTGAATGCACGGTACATGCAATTTCCTATTACGCCTACGTAGGGAATCTGGTTTGTTTTAAATGCCCCTCACTCTCAGCTGTAGACAAAAGGCTTTTCTGCACAATGCGCCCAGTGTGACCTTATGAGTTTGCTGCTTGATCACTGGTTTTGCCTAAGCGACTCAGGAAGGCTTGACAAAAGAACCTTAATGTTCCATGATGGCTGTGGATATTTCTCTGAATGGGCAGTTCCCCTTTTCGGGGTATGTGTCTGGAATGAGGATTTTGTTGTTGTTGTTTTTGTTTAGTCTGTCTGACTCTTCATGACCCCATGGACCAGAGCACGCCAGACACTCCTGTCTTCCACTGCCTCCCGCAGTTTGGTCAAACTCATGCTGATAGTTTTGAGAACACTGTCCAACCATCTCATCCTCTGTCGTCCCCTTCTCCTTGTGTCCTCAATCTTTCCCAACATCAGGGTCTTTCCCAGGGAGTCTTCTCTTCTCATGGGGTGGCCAAAGTATTGGAGCCTCAGCTTTAGGATCTGTTCTTCCAGTGAGCACTCAGGGTTGATTTCCTTAAGAATGGATAGGCTCTTGCAGCCCATGGGACTCTCAAGAGTCTCCTCCAGCACCATAATTCAAAAGCATCAATTATTTGGCGATCAGTCTTCTTTATGGTCCAGCTCTCACTCCCATACATCACTACTGGGAAAACCATAGCTTGATTTGGCAAGTGTGACAGTTTTTGAAGAGAGGAAGAGAGAGGCAGGGGGCCATGCTGTGACCTTCAGCACCTTGAGGCGAATGGCCTCTTTGGGAATCCCTGAACTGGGGTTTGCTTTATTTCAGATATTTCTCCGTCAGCTTCCCAGATTACAGCCTTCCTACCGAGGTTTACGTTAATACGAATGATACAGTTTCATTAAAAGCAAGCATTAACAAACACACAATGAAAAAATCACCAAAAACTGGCCGGTTTAAATAAGTCCAACATAGCAAAATTCAACGAGAACCAACAAACAACCAGTACCTGCCCAGAGAACAATAAAATATTTAGAAGGCAAGGAAAACAGAAACACATTTCATCCTCTTAAAAGCTTTAACTGAAGGATCCAGCTGTTTATCTCTCAGAGCCGAGTCGTCATTATAACTGATCTCAAAGGCAGGTACCATGAGGTACGCTGACAAGCTGTGGAGTTAGGGGAGAGCTGCGAGGGAGCTGCAGGGGGCGCTGCAACAAAGACTTAGAAGGCAAGAGGCACAGGGTGCTGCTGAAATTCGAAAGCCCTAAGTCTGCCATTGCATACTGCAAACATTGTCTCAATGCCACGCGGAAAACAAACTGCACACCGAACTGTCCAGAGGGTCTCAAGACAGGACTGGCTTTTGACGCAAGAGTGCCTCCATTGCCATGCTCATAATGAGGTCATCAGCAAACAAAATAGTTTTACCACATGATCTCAGCCAAGCAGAACCTGACGCCATCCACAGGCTCGGAAGCAATCCTGACATCATAATTAAAGAGACCAACCATGGCTCCTCTCTCATTCTGAGTCTCTTCTGCAGAATACAATCTTACAGCTATAAAAATTACAGGGATGATGGGACCTCAAGAGTCATTGTACAGGGTGAGTCTTTTAAAAGAGGCCCCATGGTTACAGAGTACACATGTTCCACGAGGCCTATTTAAAAAGACTCACCCTGTATATATGCAACTGAGACAAAATAAAAAAAATTCCTTCCAGTCGCACCTTAGAGACCAACTAAGTTTGCTATTGGTATGAGCTTTTGTGTGCATGTACACTTCTTCAGATACACTTCTTCTATGGCAGACCAACACAGCTACCTACCTGTATCTGCAACTGAGAGTTACATTTCATGCATCTGCTGAAGGGAACTCTAGTCCATGAACGCTTGTCATGATAAACATTTGTGGCTTTAAGGTGCCACAAGAACGCTGATCATATAGGAGTGACCCTCTTTTCTCCACTTGCACTCGGCTAGTATAAAGCAAATTTTATCAAATTGCAGTGCACCTTCAGTGTCCCCACATCCAAAGGAGACTTCACCCTGCTGTTTTAAGTGCAAAGAGCACATGGCAGTGTTTGCTGTGAAACCGATGCTTGTGCCACCATTCCCACACTTTTGAGAATTCCTGGGCTACTCCTACTTTCTCTCTCTTTCACTGCCCAAAGAGGAAGGAAGTAGAAACAACAGATGCCTTCTCTTGCTCGCACACTTCCCAGTTACATTCCCACCCTGGAAGTGGCAGAACTCAATAAGAGGCGCCCCTGGGGAGTTGGAGCTCCAGCAATTTTTTGGCTGGGTGTGTGCCAGACTCCTGGTCATTTTCAACCTCGGCTGCAAGGCAGGCGAAGGGAGTAACAAGAGAGCGTCTTACACCCCCCCCCCCGTCCTGGGGAGTGAACACGCATCTGCTTTACGACCTGTCTGCTGTTCCTTGCCCATCCCTTTCCACCAGCCCTTTCTCCTGTCTCTAGAGCCGGTGAGAAGAAAACGAAGATTTCTCCGGCATTCACCAAGAAAAGGGGAGGACTTGAGCGCCGCCGGCCTGTAGGCGCATGCGCGCCGGGCGAGAGCAGGGTGCCTATAATAACAGAGAAAGCGAGGGAGTAGCGAAGGGAGCCCCGCGCGCGCACAAGCAGCCAGCCAGTAGCTCCAGGAAACGGAGCCTGGAGTTGTGTGCAGGCGCTGCTGGTGGCGTGCCGAGCAGGGCTGGCTGGATAGAAGCAGAGTTTGTTGCCCGCGTTGGAAAAAGCCAGACCGCCGGAGTTTCCTGCTGGCCTCTCCAAGCAGAGCGCAGAGGAGGCAGAACCAGAGGCAAAGAAGGGAAACTCCTCTCTGAGCCAGAACTCCTTCCCGGCTCCACTTCCACCCGCGGCGCTGCCCCGAAGTCGGAGCTGACTCCCTGGAAGGCCGGCGCGAGATGCGGACCAGGAGCAACGACTCTTAGGCGAGCGGGACCTCCCTGTCGGGACTTGCTTGGGCAGACGGGGGCCAAACGAGGCGTAGCGGCGACGGTGCTCGCGGGTACAAGGCGAAGCGCCAGGAAGGGGAGTGACGTTCCGCTGTGGCGGCGGCAGTGGCTGGGGTCTCCCTCGGAGGGTCTCCCGCCTGCCCACGGACTCGTCTCGCCGCGGGCGCCCCCTCGGACCCTCGCTGTGTTATGGCTCCGTCCCGCCTACCCGGGCGCATCTCTTCACCCGCCACAGCCCGGGCTCTCCTGCCCTCCCGGCTGCAGAACTAGGCTGTGGGGGTCGCTGCCTCTTTGACGAGCGGCCGGCGACTCGGCCGGCTCCCTCGGCGCGCTCCTCCCCTCGGCGCCTCGGCTCGGGTTGCTGAGCAGGGAAGGTCCCGCGCGGGATTCCCAGGCGCCTCGCCGACAGCCAACTGTTCGCGCCGCAGTACCCAGAGCGGCAAAGGCGCCACCTCCATTAGCGCTGAATGACTCCGCCGTGGGGCGCCGCTTCCTCCTCTTAGGAGATTGTCCGGGATTCCGTGGGGCTTGACAGAAAGGCTGGACTCTTTCTCGAGGGCTGCGCTTGCTGCCCGTCGCCGGCGAGGGGACGGGCTCCGGGAGGCTAGCGCCCTACTTCAGCCGGACTTGAGCCATTTCTGGGAGCTTGGATATTTCTCTGCGCTCCTTTCTCCTGCCCAGCAACTGCGGGACTCTGTTCCTAGCGCCCCTCACAAGTTGGCTTCTTGAGGGCTCGCCGGCTCCATATCCTGCACTGACTTGGCGCGCCCATTTTCAGGCGAGGCGACCCTGGGCACGCGGCGCCAATCTCTCACGCGTGGCTGTCCCCCACCTCCCACGGCCACGTGCTTTCCGCACAGCGGGGCTTGTGGCACACACGTGTCTACACAACCACCCGCAGCTGCTGCATTCACACACGCGCCCCCTCCCCGCACATTCACTGAGTGTGCCTCGACCCAGGCTGTGAGGAGAGGGGCGCCTGCCTGGTGTCCGAGGCCCGCCTGCGGGCGCCCGCCTGCTGCCGCCCCCTCGCGGTGCCATGTGGAGGGGGCGCTGTTCTCTGGGAGGGCGGCCTGGGGCGTCGCTGCTGCTGCTGCTTGTGGGGCTGGCGGCGAGCGCGCGGGCCAGCGGCGAGTATTGCCACGGCTGGCAGGACGGGGCGACTTGGCGCGACGGCTTCCAGTGCCCGGAGCACTTCGACGACGGCGACGCCACCATCTGCTGCGGCACGTGCGCCCTTCGCTACTGCTGCTCCCGCCCGGAGGCCCGCCTGGACCAGGGCGTCTGCGACAACGACCGGCAGCAAGGGGGAGCCGAGCACGGCCGGCCCGACAAGGACATCCCCGACGGCGCAGCAGGTACAAAGCGGAGGAGGGGAGGGACACGGGCAGCTGCCTCGTTGCTAATGTTGAGTGAACTAGTTTGGTTGAACTTAGTATTGCCTACACTGACAGGCAGTAGCAGCCCCAGGATTTCAGAGTCTCTCCCAGCACGACCTGGAATTGAACTCAGTACCTTCTGCATGCCAAGCAGCTGCCCTGCCACTGAGCTACAGCCCTTCCCATATTTATCATAGTTGCATTGCTTTCTTTAAAAAGGAAACGACCCATCTATTTCTAGATCTTAGCCCCCACCTTGTCTCAAGGCCCAGGATTATTATCCTGCACTCAGGGAAGGTACACACAGGACTCATCTACACAGCTGCAAATAAAACGTTTTAAATGTGTTGTAAAGTGCAATATACAAATGTGACACTAGATGGCAACAGTGAGCTATGCAAAATCCAATGTATTTTCCGAAACGTTTTTAAAATAAGCATTTTCACAGCGTTTTTAATGTGTACATAGATTCCACCACAGACTCTGAAAACAAGGTACTCTTCTGCTGTGCTTATTAGTACCCCAGACAATTGATTTCTACCCACCCACCTATCACCTGCCCACTTAACACAAATAAGTTTCTTTAGCAAGTCTATCAATGCAGTGCTTGACTGGTCTCCCGGGGTTTACCCATGTGGCGTGCATATAAGGCATGGCATGTGCCACTTGTGAATGTTGTTCTTGTGAGGTAGAAAGAACTTTTATAAAAAATATTGTGGACTATGCAAGTTGCAACCAATTTAGGACTTCTGTTTGAAAAAGTAATTCGCAAGCTGCTTCAGGGCCAGGTTCACACATGACACTAAAGAAATGCACTTGAGCCTTTCTCACGTGCTGTTTAGGTGCAGGAGAATGTTGATGCAGGGCTGAAAGACATTTTTAAATCTTACGACGTCCTTTCTGGGCTTTGTAGGTAGGTAGCTCCTACCCTGCCTTTCCCCTCAAACTCATCCTTCCCTTGCCCATGTGCCTGTAGAAGTTTGCAACAGGCTATCAAGTTTAGCAGTGCCAGAGTGGTAATTGCAATATGGGGGCTATCAGGTAGAGGCCCCTCAAAAAATGCCCCTGGCCCTGTTTATATACCAGCATAAGTCAGTGTTACCTTGGTGCTTTCATTAATGATTGGTGTTGTTTTTCTCCAGTCGATGAAGCGTGTGAAGCAGTAACCTTCTCTTCCCTTTCTCAGTTCCCACAGCTGGAAAACCTTCCATTCCTCAGTGCTTGGGGGGGGGGGGGAGAGAAATAAATAGATGGATCTTTTCCATGCTGATACACTGAGGAAGTAGTAGCCAGTTTATTTTCCTTGAAGTGGGAAGTTGCTTAGTTATTGCAAATTGCTCCTTTTGTGCATAGGTGCCAACTCCCTGGGGTGCCTGAGCACCCACAAAATTCCCCATGAAGGGGCCAGGCACCCACAAATTTCACTACTAGAGCCATGAACGCTGCATGACACCCATGGCCCCAGGCACCCGTGGTTGCAGGGCCAAGCTGGCATTCCTGCTTGTGTGCATGAATATAAAGAACAGACATAGGCAAACTCGGCTCTCCAGATGTTTTGAGACTACAGTTCCTATCATCCCTGACCACTGGTCCTGTTAGCTAGGGATGATGGGAGTTGTAGTCCCAAAACAGCTGGAGGGCCAAGTTTGGCCATCACTGACTTAACTCAACTGGCCTTACCTCTGAGTGGACACATGTAGGACTGTAAGCCTCACTGATTTCAGAGGGGAAGAGAAGCACAAAGCTAAACACACTCTGCTGAACTCTCCTACTGAAATAAATGGGATTTAAAACTTTGGCTGGATCACATTTTCATTTTATTTACTCATGATGTAATTATTTTAACGAGCTGTGACAGCCCACTAAGAATTTCAAAATAAGTTCAAAAATTATGGAGCTGAGCTCTGCAGTCCACCTTCTTATGAAGCCATTATAACTTTAATGACTTTAAACTAAAGTGTATACAGTGCTGCCAAAGTATTTTTGAGAACATAGATGAGGTGACAAACACCCTGCTAATAAGCACAGTGGTTATAAAACAGGCTAGAGTTACGTGCAGCTAAGCTGTTGACTTCAATGAGCCCAAGAGTACTTCCTTGCTGGGTAGTGACCAATACCTCAATTCAAGTTCCACTGAAATCAGTAGGTCTTATGCAATGTGCTTAGGATTTTTATGAAGCACTGTTCATCAAAACTTAATAACACTTAAGTTTCCAGTCTCTGAGTAATGAGGCTTTTTTCTTAATGCTCATCTTCAAAAAAAAACCATAATGCAAGTAATAATAAAAACTGCAGGTGGTAAACGTCGCCTTAGAAGAGTCATGCCCATCTTTCTTTTATTGCATGCACAATTGGGAGCTTGCCTTCTAAGAAGAGGCTTGTTGTGTCGTGAGTGTGTCATCTAAAATGAAAGGGTTGGGTCCAGGGTTGCTCTCAGTGGAGTTCTGCTCTTGCTGAAGGAAGGGGGCAGTGTGTGGTCTTTGCAATGTCCTCCTTCCCCTGCCATTCCTGGAAAGCTGTTGTGGGAGAACTTCCCCAGAGCAGCATGAGAGGTTGCATAGGTGGTGATTGACAGGTGGCTGCAGGAATCAGCAGGGAGTCACTGGACCTCAGTGCATTCCATGAATGGAGCTCTTCCATTTGTGAAATGGCCCATCCAGACCCTAACCATAGAAATTATGGTGCTTCCTTCTGAACTGATTATTATTATTTTTTTAACTTGCATTCAAATTTAATAAATTAATTTGCCAATCATGTAAAACTGACTGACTGACTTAAGATTTCTTTAACTGGGCAACAGAGTACCTTAGCCTCACAACAGTTCTTATGCTATATCATAAGCAAATAGAGGGGAAATATTAACCTCATGGTTAAGCAGGAATTTCAACCTGGGTCTTCCCACTACCAGCTTGGCTCATTGCCCCACCCACAACAGCCTAAATTCTGGAAGGAACGTTATTGAATTGGGATCTGTACAGGACACAGCTCATCCAATAAGGCATGCAAATCAGCTATTGGATGATCCTGTGCAAAGCAGTTCCAAATGATCAGTTCAGGTTGCACAGTTTGGATGTGCCTTCCCATCCATGTTGTGATGCAGGTAGTCATAGTAGTAGCAGTGATGATTATTTCAACTATAGCAATGACAACTTAGTTCAGTGGGAAGGGCCAAGTTATGGAAAACAGCCAGGATCTGAAGCAGGTTTACCTGTGAGTCAATCAGGAAGCAGTAAGACTGGGGTAGCCAACGTGGTACCCTCCAAATGTTTTAGACTGCTGCTCTCATCATCCGTGAACGTTGGCCGTGCTGGCTGAGGATGATATCCAACTACATATGGAGGACTCCATTTTGGTTTTCCCTGGGCTAAGAGATAGCCGTATTTCCTGAGGCTGCTTACTGAGCTTTATGGCACAGGTGATATTTGAACCAAGACTTCCCAAGTCTGTCTCTTAGCCACTGTGTTAAGGTGAAGGTGAAGGGAATGCATATCCCCAGGTACATATCTCCTCAGAGCAGCAATGAACAGTCACCGTACTAGCTTGTAACCGTATAGATTGTTCTTACCTTGCTGCTCAGGGGGAAGAGAATAAAATGATTCTGATGGAACTGGCGGAAATGACTGGCAGAATCCGAGACCAGGGAGAAGAGTCGGTGGAAGAAGATTGGAAAAAATTCAAAGTATACTTACAGAAACATTGTAAAATTAATGAGTGTTAGAAGGATGCTGGAATGAAGTTATATGGTTTTAGTAGAAATGCAACAAAGAATTAAGTAAAAGCTGATTGATAACGGGTTAAAATGAAAAAATTTAAGGTTAGACCGTTAAGATAAATTATAGAAAAAAAATTAAGAAAGATGGGAAGAATTTGCTGAAATAGTGAATCGAACTAGAATACAAAAAAAGGGAGGTGTGAGGAGGTCGATGAAACAAGTAAAGGAAAGGTAAAGATATGGAATATTGGATGTGTGTTTTAGTTCTCTTTTTGTTTCTTTTTGTTGTATTGTTGTTGTTGTTTTCTTCTTTTTTATTGTTTTCTTTTTTCTGTAATTTTTAAACTTTTAATAAATATCATTGTATAAAAAAGAGAATAAAATGATTCTGAAACAGAAGAGATTGTATACAAGCCGTTCCTCTTTGTGTAGCTGCTGAAATAGAGGGAAGTGGGGAATAGGCAGGCCCCAGTGGCTTGAATGCACAGCTGCAATGTTACTCAGCCATTCATTCATGCTTTACAAATGTCAGAATTCTGAGTTTCCCTTTTATTCCTGTTTTGATAGGATATGGTGTGTTAGCCTCAGTATTCTAGGTGGCAGCATTACCCAGAATATCTCGAGATGAGTTGTATTTCAGACCTGACATCCTAGCATGCATTGATTTTTGTCTCCCAATTTAAACAAGAAAATCCCAGGAAAGGCAAGTTGTTCTGGGGGAGGGAACGCCCCCCCCCCAAGCAACGTGACACTTCATTTCGCCTCCAAACCCTACCTGTTGCTGTGTGAATAAACAGAGTGCCACTTCCTAATCATGTATTTATGTGATTGGATTTCAAAAGGTAAACTTCAGCCCTCTTTGGGAAAGCCCTGGTTGCTTCCCAGCGCTTCCCCTGCTGTTCATGAATCCTAAACACATCAGAACTAGCCTGAAGTTATGTTATAATTAGAGCTGGTTTACTCCCGGAAAGTGTGCTTGTTGCAGCGAGAGCATTAATTTCAATAAGGTTTGTAACAGGGTGCCTGTTCCCCATTGAAATTAATGGAGAGATTGCACAACAGCAGAGCTTCGGAGTTTACTTACAAAAAGAACAGCAACATTTCGCTATAAACCACCTTTCTCTAGTAGTTCATTGCCGTATTGAGCCAGCTTTTATAGACTTTGCTATTCAGATGTGAGCCTCACTGAGTTTGCCTGTTTACTCCCAGGTAACTGTGCGCAAGATTGCTGCCTTCATGTTAAAAGAGATATGGTTTTTCTCCTCTCATATCTTGCAATGCAGGGACGCGGGTGGCGCTGTGGGTTAAATCACAGAGTCTAGGAATCAGAAGGTTGGTGGTTCGAATCCCCGCAACGGGGTGAGCTCCCGGGGTGAGCTCCCATTGCTTGGTCCCTGCTCCTGCAAACCTAGCAGTTCGAAAGCATGTCAAAGTGCAAGTAGATAAATAGGTACTGCTCCGGCGGAAAGGTAAACGGCGTTTCCATGCGCTGCTCTGGTTCGCCAGAAGCGGCTCAGTCATGCTGGCCACATGACCCGGAAGCTGTACGCCAGCTCCCTCGGCCAGTAAAGCGAGATGAGCGCCGCAACCCCAGAGTCGGTCATGATTGAACCTAATGGTCAGGGGTCCCTTTACCTTTATCTTGCAATGCAGGGGCCATAAGAAAGCAACAAGGCAATTTAGTGTGAACTAGAGAAGAGCTGAAATCCATTATTGGACTTTTTTCCCTACTAAATATCTGTGTCCCACTTTTACTCACCCATCCCCATAGAAAAAGGCCGCTTAAAAGAATTTTCTCCAGATACTCTTCTCTACTAAGTGTTTTGTGGTGTCTGCTATTCCACTCCCGTTCAAGGCCCTTGAACAATGCCCCACTCAGCGGAGGAAGCAGCACAATGTTGGCCAGCTTTCCAGCAAAATTGCTTCTGCTGCTGCTCGTAGTTGTCACAAATGAAAACTTTTAAGATGGCTTTAAGCTCCTGCCATGGCCAACTGCAGAGTCCCACTCCCCTCCAAAAGTTGGGGGATTTCAGTGAAATGCCGTTTCTCCAGTTTCCCTGGAGTTTCACAGGTAGGGTGAATAATTTCAAGAGGCCACTTGCACACAGGTGTAATGAGAACCAGGCAGAGGGCCTTCTCGGTAGTGGCGCCCACCCTGTGATATGCCTTCCCATCAGATGTCAAGGAAATAAACAACTATCTGGCTTTTAGAAGACATCTGAAGGCAGCTCTGTTTAGGGATGGTTTTAATGCTTAATGTTTTATTGTATTTTTAATAGTCTGTTGGGAGCTGCCCAGAGTGGCTGGGGAAACCCAGCCAGATGCGTGGGGTATACATAATTTTTTAATTTTTATTATTAATATTACTACTACTACTACAGTGGTACCTCTGGTTACGAACTTAATTCATTCTGGAGGTCCGTTCTTAACCCGAAACTGTTCTTAACATGAGGCGTGCTTTCGCTAATGGCGCCTCCTGCTGCCGCTGCGCTTCTGGCGCGTGACTTCCGCTTGCATCCCGGGGCAAAGTTCGCAACCGGGAGCATCTACTTCCGGGTTAGCGGAGCTCGTAACCCAAAGTGTTCGCAAGGTGGACGGTATGTAACAGGAGGTTCCACTGTACTACTACTACTAGGGCGGAACTGGATGTTACCCAAAATATGGCGGTGCCACCAAAAATGGCATGCTTGGGTTGAGTCCCCTCTCCCCTGTAGTAATGGAAGCCAGATGATATGATCTTGGCATGCAGCGTGTTTCTCACAGTGGCTGTCAAATACGTGGAATGACCATGGGGAAAAAAGCATGACAGAATGATACCATACAGTCAATACTTCTTCCCTTTTCCATGTTGTTCTCGCAACAACCCTGTGAGGTAGGTTAGGCTGAGAGAGGGTGACTTGCCCAAGTTCGCCCACTCAGCTGCACAGCTGAGCAGGGATTTGAACCTTGGCCTCCTGGGTCCTAGTCTAACACCCTAACCATTACGCTACGCTGGCTGTGACTAAAGAACGAAGGAAAAACATCTACTACCCTCTCCGCTTATTATGCGCTTTCAATAAAAACATGCTTGCCTCTTTGTTTCCAGTAAAAAGAGTTTTTCTTTTCTGTTGGCAGTGCCTATCTACGTGCCCTTCCTTATCGTGGGCTCTGTTTTCGTGGCGTTCATCATCTTGGGGTCCCTCGTAGCAGCTTGCTGCTGCCGCTGCCTGCGCCCCAAGCAAGAGCCTCAGCAGAGCCGGCCTCCTGGAGGCAACCGGATAATGGAGACTATTCCCATGATCCCAAGTGCCAGCACCTCCCGCGGATCCTCGTCACGTCAATCAAGCACCGCTGCCAGCTCCAGCTCCAGTGCCAACTCAGGTGCCAGGCCTCCCCCTACCAGGTCGCAAACCAACTGCTGTTTACCAGAAGGGACCATGAATAATGTATACGTCAACATGCCTACTAATTTCTCAGTACTGAACTGCCAGCAGGCTACGCAGATAGTGCCTCACCAAGGCCAGTATTTGCACCCACAGTATGTGGGTTACGCTGTACCGCACGACTCTATGCCCATGGCCCCTGTGCCCCCTTTCCTCGACGGCCTGCAAAGTGGATACAGGCCAATTCAGTCTCCTTATCCCCACAGCAATAGCGAACAGAAGATGTACCCAGCAGTGACTGTGTAGCTCGAAGGAGGGAAGAAACAGAAACAGACACCCAAGCAAAAAAAGAAATAAAATAAAAATATTGCCGCAACAGACTGTGAGCAGAGGAAAGGAACGCTTTTGGAAAGAAGCTTGCCGAACTTCATTTGTAAATAATTTTGGAAGGCTCATGCATGTCCGGAGAGTATTTATAGATGGTTTTCTTTTCGTTCAGTTCAGTTGCCAAAAGAACTGTATGAAGAGACCTTTGATTTAACATTTCCAGATAATGCTTCCATTCCAGTGCATGATTTACAGGGGCAAAGGATTATGCTGAAGAGGCATCTACATTTCGGTTAGATAAGTGTGTGTGTGTGTGTGTGTGTGTGTGTGTGTGTGAGTGATTAAATGCCTGAGCCACTAAGTGCCCTTGAAGGTGCTACACAGTCGATGGTATTTACCTAGTGAATAGAAAACCAGCTTGTTACATGGTACGAAATAATTGTTTTAGAAGTGTCTTTCCCCCAGAGTTTTAACTACCCTTCGTATTGCTGTTCCGACAATCACACTGACGACAGGATGAACAGTGCAATCCTGGTTAGTTACATAGTCCTAGAAGTTTGACTTGAAATTACAGGGAGGGACCATAGCTCAGTGGTAGGGCGCATGCTTGGCATGCAGAAGGTCCCGTGTTTAAACCCTCGCATATCCAATTGTTCTTGTTGTTTTTTTAAAAAAGCAGGGATAGTTGTCCTGAGGTCCTCTAGTGGTTTCTAGACTCCCAACTCCCATCAGCATGGCCAGTGGTCAGGGATTATGGGAGTTGCAGTCCAGCAACATCTGGAGAGCCTCCCCATCCCTATTAAAGGACCAGGCAGCAGATGAAGGAAGGACCCTCTACCTGATAGCCTGCAATCAGGGTAGGCAGCACTGGGCTAGGTGGACAAACAGCTGTGACTTCATATAAGACGGCTTTCTACGTTCCTAGTATCTTACCTACACCCTTTGCAATATCGCAAACTGCTTTTGAAAGCCTGCTTTTGCATCGTGAAACAGTTGGCCATGTGGTATTGGTGAGGGAGCTGTTTGAGAAGCTCAAGCCCAGAAGCCATTCAGGTGTGTGGATGTAGCTACATACTTCTTTGGATCCTGGTGATGCTCAGGAGCCGAGCATTTTGCAGACATGCGGCTTACCTCAGCGATTTTCAAAGCAGAAGAGAATGTGAAGGGTTCGCTTTTATTCCAGCTGAAGTACCCACAATAGCCTCAGTACCCGTTTTCTTTGTGCATGCCAACAAAAGTGTAGCAGCATTTTTTGCAAACGCCACTTGCAATGCTCAAAAAACGCCTTTGGAATTTGGGCATTGGTGGCGTGAGATTAAGTGGGTTGCAGCCAAGACTTTTCCCCCAGCATGGCTCCTTGTCCCCATTTCCAGTTCAATGGACAGGCCCTGGTGCCTTGGACCACATGGAAATGGGATTCATATCTGACGCAGATAGAAGTGGTCAGCCCAAACAACAGAGCAGGGAAAGACTTGCAGAGGTAGAAAAGGTGGCTGCCTGGAAAACCTCTTTTTGTCGAAGTGCAGACAATTCCCCGGTTGCGTGGGGGTTGTTCTCTGGGTCATTGCATGCTTGCACGAAATCGTGCACAATTGGAGCAAACACCTGCAAACACCCTGTGGTTGCTCCTGCCCTGTTCCACCCCTTTTTGTGACGTTTTTGAATCCCTTCCTGGTTCAGCGTGTGCATGTGGTCATGCACATATCAGACACACCTAATCACCAGTTGCTGCCTGTAAAAGTATTAGAAGCGTGACATCACCACACATTTCCGTTGTGTACAGATTCATTAGCGAAACAATTCCGCATGATGTAAAGGTCTTTGGGCGACTCAAGGGATGATATTGCACTAAACCGGGTTGATTTAATCTGTATCAGCAGCTAAGTTTCTGGCAGTCATAAAAGAAGCAGAAGGTCTGTGTTAATTGTTAATGTATTTCGTGCTTCAGAAATCCAGGATTTGCTTTCTCGTTAAAAAACCACCAAAAAAACCCACACCACTATGTAGCAATATAATTCATTTATATTGTCTGCTGAAGTTTGACACTTACATATTGACACTGTGCCAAGACTGTGTTCATCCTGCCTCACCCCTGATGCTGTGTGCACAAGAGATAAATGCAGGAGAAAGAGATGCTCTTGAATAAGGAAACCGAAGTGCATGGGCACATTGCACCAGCATACTCTGATCCAGGGAACTGAACTAAATGGAATTTACCCCATGCAGCTCTTTCATGTGTGCATAAGTACTTTTTCACCCATAGGAATTAACTGAATTCATTGTTTCTGCTGCTTGTTGTCCTCAGAGTGCTACAGGGTCTAGATCAGAGGCTCCCAAACGTTGGTTTGTGGTCTATAAGCTTCATTCATGTGGTTGCAAGGATATCCATGCTCACTCATGCACTTGATTTTTATTTTTTTTCTGATGGTGAAGACTTGGTCCTTTTTGGCCATTGCCAGTTTTATTGAACAGGCAAAGAAGACCATAGCCTAGGACCTGTGATTTTCACAATAAGGTGCTGATGCAGTCACCTAATATTTCCCTAGCTATTAAATAGGACTTACGTGTGTGCTTTGATTTTTAGAGCAAAGTGAAGTTTACCGATCTGCCAAGACCTGCAGCAATTTTCAAATGGTGGGTTTGAGAACCACTGGTATAGAACACTTGTCCAATAGGTACCTTTGCAGCTACCTTACTCTGCTTATCATGTTTGTTTAGAAAAGTCTAGCTCTCAGTTTGAGAAGCGCTGCCGGGAATTTCTTGCAGAGCAATGGATGCCCTTGATATGCCGTTTGCTTGAAAAGAAACAGAAGGTGCTGAGCAGTTTCCTGGATTGGGCCCACTGTTTCACTTCTGGAAGATGGGCTCAGAGACTGATGTTAGCTTTTTCCATTTGTGAAAAAAAAATAGTTTACACTCTTGTGCACAATTGCCTGGGAGCAAGTCCTACTGAACTCAGTAGGACTTACTTCTGAGTAGAAATGAATAGGATCGCACCCTTCTGTTTCCCAGAATTCATTGTATTCATTGCACATGCTGTGTTACTTATATGAAAATCAGGTGAATCTGTTTGTTTACTTGTTTTTTTTTTAAAAAATGAATAAGTTAAATCAAAAGTATGTAGAAATTAATTTACATTGAACAGGGGAAATGCTTTTGAGTTGTAATAAAAAAAAGTTTGTGACATGTGGTGTTTTATATGTCATGTATAATAATGTAAAACCAATGTTAATGTTTGGTATAATTTTTTAAATTTCTTAAAGGGCACTTGAGTAAGTGATTCTTACAAGTGAAGAAAAAAAAGATCTTTTGTTTCATATTAAATATTTTATGGTGTGATTTTTCTCTCTATTTGAGTTTGTTACTCATTTCTCATTTGCTTTAGGGTGTATCTACCATTTGAGATGTAGATAAGACATGATCCAGCCAAATGTATAAATCCCATTGGTTTTAATGGGGAGAGACTTCAGTGCAGTCCTATTAAAACAATCAACTCAAAATGAAGTCCTGTTGAGTTCAGTGGGGCTTACTTGCAGGTATGTGGGTATAGGATGGCAGGCTCAGTTTCCCACTGAAATTGAATTCTTAAAATTTGCATGTATATGTTAAATGATGGGGAACCTTTGGCCTTCCAGACTTGTTGGACTTCAAGTCCCATCAGCCTCAGCCAGCATGGGCTGGATCTAGACACATCAAAGAAGCGTTTCAGTTAAATGTGTTGCAAACTTTGAGAAATTGGGTTAGCAAAAATGGAACTCCACAGCGCTATCTGGTGTCACAGTGTTAGAATAAGGTTACCAGACATCCCCGTTTCCTGGGGACAGTCCCCAGATTTACAAATCAGTCCCCTGACAAAATCCATCTATTTAGTAGGAAGTTGAAAAGTGTCCCCAGATTCACTGAAAAAAATCTGGTAACCTTACGTTAGAACGTATAAAACAACGCATATAAAGCGTTTTTTCTTTGCCAGTGTAGCTGAGTCCATGGCCAATGGTCAGGGATGATGAGCTACAACTTCAGTTAAAAGTTAGTTTAAGATGACGATAATTTGAGTTGTTGATACCTAATAGAAGTAGCCCAAGAGGTCTTTTGCTGATGGCGGTGGCGGTGGCAGACATGAGCTTTGATGATTTAAAACTAGATGAGACATTCATAGAGAAGGGGCTGGGGTGCATTAAGCTCAGGTGCAGTTTGGAGATGTGGCCCCCCCAGACCTCTCTGTTTGGACCTCGGAACTCTCTAGGCCACATTCCCCGTTCATTGGCCCTACTGCACACCCTCAATTGATTTTGAGTGCCTGGAATGATCTGTGACGTGTGATGATGCCTCTTGCTTGCCTGTGTGTGTAGAAATCCCTGAAATACAGCCTACTGTACAAAGGTCAGAATCACATCCATTGCTCCACCCACTTTTTGCTTCTGGCTCCACCCACCGCTTGCATTTAGGGCCCCCCTCCAGGTTACCCACAACTAGGGTTTAGCCTGCCTGCCCCACTGCTTTCTGTTGCCTCCCCCCCCCACAACTTTGCCCTCCTGCTCTGCCCCCTTTCCAAACATTATGCCACCCTGATCTCTTCTCAGAGTTCACCAGACAATAATTGATAAGGGTTGTTATAAAATTATAACACCTGGGTCCAGAAGCACTCTGCACAAATGAATAAGCTGAGTGCAGCCGGAGCTTGTAAAATGGCAGTTATTGGGCAGAGCACAAGGCTGAACGGTTTTTAACGAGGAGAAAAAGGAGATGGTAGTAACCAGCTGATCTCAGCCCTGGCAAGTCCATTGCGGGCTCTGATGCCACATCTATTTCCCACTGTGCTGCCATTGCCCCTGGGGGTGGTTTGAAGTGCCCCATAAGCTGTGGGTGCCCAGACCTAATCCCCTGGCCAGGGGCCCCATTACTTCCATGGCTGCATGGAAGAGGCTATTTCTGCAGGTGTGGCCTTTTTGCCCCTCCAAGTTAAGTTTTACCTGCCACAACTGGCATTTCTTTTTACCCAGCTAAAAGGCACAGGTGCTATGCTTTGCCTTGGGTCTATCCGTGGCTGTCTGCCATGGTAGCTAAATGGACCCCACATGACCAGCAGCATGGGAGAAGGGCCCTAACTCAGCGGCCCTTGCAAGCAGAAGGTCCCAGGTGCAACCCTGACATCGCCAGGTCACACTGGGTGTGTCCCCTGCCTGAAAACCTGGGGAGCTGCTGCCAGTCAGTGCAGGTAGTACTAAGCTAGATGGACGAATGAGCTGACTATAAGGCAGCTTCCCATGTTCCTTTACCTCTGATTCCCTAATGCTGGGAATAAACAATAGGGTACAATTTTCAGGGCCATTTCTTGCTTGTGAGATGCGACATGCTTAAAGCCATGAGAGAGAATCAGGAGTTCAGCCAATAAAATGTTGAACTGAAAGTGTTTTTCTTCACTTAAACCACATTCTTCAGTGAGCACCAATGTATGAGGCTGTTTGGGAAAGGGCAGCGATTTCAATGCCTACCCATTTTGCTCATTTTCCCAAAACACTCTCACAGAATCTGGGCTGCGCCCATTATTAGTATACATCTACTTGGTGATTTGCAACACATTTTACGGCAGTTCATGGCGGAGTTTCTCCCGGACTCCTTGAGAACAAGGCATTGTGGTCTTGGAAGCCGTACATCTTCAGTAATAAATTTCAGAAACCTTATACAAAGCGAGGAACAAAACGCAGCTTTTGGGGTATGAGGTTTCTTTTGAAAAGGAAGTGCTTTCACTCGGAGCCCTGCTCACCAAGGTATTCAAGCGTGCGTTTTAACTTGAAGCGTGCAATTAAGCCCTGATTACAGTGGCGCTAGTCTCCTTGCTGAATTAATGTCTAAACTGTTTCTCATGGAAAGCTGCTGTGCTGCAGCTCCCCGCTGCATCCAGATCATTTATGGTCGTTCACATTACAGCCTGCACCTGGCAGTATCACATGAAGGACCCAAATCCTGCTCCCATTGAAGTCTTGTGGGCATGTTGCCACTGGCTGCAACTGGAGCCGGAGCACGTACAGTTTTTCCTCTCAGCGGGGAAAAAGGTGGTATAAAATGATATCGTTTGCTGAATAGCTTGCCAGACTCTTTAAAATTTGTATTCCTAAATTTGAGGCATTTTGAGGGGCCCAGGAAAGGTGCGAGGAAGAAGGCAGGGAGGGCGAAGCTTCCCTTAGTACTAATTTCCACAGTAACGAGTCGAGATAATTGCTTTAGCAAGCTCAGGGAAAATGTATGTTTCCATTAAAGAGAGGATGCTGTGCACATTCACGGCGCTGTGTTTTTCTCACGAGGATTGCAGCAAACCATAATAGGGTAACCTAGGCTGCTGTAAACTTTGATTTAATGTCAGCGGCCACAGATGGAGAGTGTTCTCTTCCCGGTGTGTAGCCAATACATTTTGATTGGGGGTTGGTGGTGGTGCGAGGCTCACACAGAGAATGGGAGTCACTGTGTGCCCTTGCTTGTGTGAATCCGCCCAATGAGCCAGTTCAATGTATAAGCCAACCTCTATATTACCCTGGTACAGACTCTACCCATGGTTGCATGCCTGGGAATATTTAGATATGTTGCACAGTCAAGCTATCATGGGAATGCAGTTGCCATGTTATCTTGTGCAGATATTACCTAGTTAACATACCCGGTGAGCTGATCCTGGGCATCAGAAAGAAGAGAAAGGTCAGATTTGGTGGATCTCTGCCTCTCCAGAAGTGGTTGGACTTTGACTCCCATCATCCCTGACCGGGATTAGCTTGATTAGGTAGTTTTCTGAATCTTCCCATTTACACAACTGTGATCAATCACACTAATCCAAGTGGTTTCTTCTCCATTGACAGCAGGTGTTGCTCAGAGTATCTCCATTGATCGTTAGTTTTTGTGCTCATATGTTCTTTTACTCTTAATCAACCACAGACCTGGGCAATACTCCCCTTAGATGTAGGCATAGTCACACCAGCACAGAGCTCATGAGATGTGTTTGCCCCACCTCTCTCTTAATGGCCAATTGCCTCTGCATCTTTCAGGATTGAACCACAGTAACTAGTCCTCTTACTTCCAGATGACCTGCTCACTGAGAATTCATCCTGGTTTGTTTACAAGGAGATTAGATGACATTGGCCAAATAGTGAGCATTCATTCTGATTTGTTTGCTGGGAGATTAGATAAAGCTGGCTATTTAACAAGCATTCAATTCTAGTTTGTTTGCAGAGTTGGCATCCGATCAGGCAAGTGTTATCCTTACTGGTGCGTTTCTAAATTTGAATTTTAAATTTTGCATTTTGTATATTTTTATCGTCAGGCGCTTTAAGGCATGGGTAGACAAACTAAGGCCTGGGGGCCGGATCTGGCCCAATCACCTTCTAAATCCGGCCCGTGGATGGTCCGGGAATCAGCGTGTTTTTACATGAGTAGAGTGTGCCCTTTTTAAAAAAATGCATCTCTGGGTTGTTTGTGGGGCCTGCCAGGTGTTTTTACATGAGTTGAATGTGTACTTTTATTTAAAATGCATCTCTGGGTTATTTGTGGGGCATAGGAATTCGTTCATCCCCCCCCAAAAAAAAATATAGCCTGGCCCCCCACAAGGTCTGAGGGACAGTGGACCGGCCCCCTGCTGAAAAAGTTTGCTGAGCCCTGTTGGTTAAAAGCAGGATATGCTTTTTAAAGCAATAAATAAATAAGCAATGCTCCCATCGCTCCCCATTAATATTTTGGGGAGACAGGCTTGTTGTACATGAACTCCAAATCAGCTTTATTTGTGCAATTCTGAATTTGCTGGTTTGTGACTGAATCCCACCTGAAAATTGCACCAGTTTGGAAGTGCTCTCTATGGGGAGTGCAAGACAGAGCAAAAGCACAGTGTACTGCTGGATTTAGTATTTAGTATTATTTAGTATTTATTTAGGATTTAGTGTTTAGAATTTAGCACCCATTTGCTCAGCTCCATTGAAATAAATGTCCAGGCTTTGTGGAACTTGGTGCATTTTGAATTTTTCATAAGCTATGTGACTTTGGTAGTTTATTTTTTATTTTTTCAAGGACTGTGGTATTTTATGTGTTGTGAACATGGGCGAAGCCAGGTTGTATGTTGAGGGGCGGCTTCATGTTGGGGGGGGGGCAGAACCCCAGGTAAGTATTTTTATTGATTTACTTGATGGGGGGGGGAGTAGATGCCCCCTGTCCCTCTGGCTATGCCCATAGTTGTGAATTTGCTGTCATTTTTATTGATTATAGCCCAGTAATGATTTATTGTGATTCTTGGGGGGCGATTTTCTGTTTATTTGCTGATTTTGAGAGTTGGCTTTTTATCCTGTAATGTTATATTTCAAATGGATTAGAACTGAC